GGAGAAATTATTGGCACATTTGTCTCCTTTTGTGGGCTGCGGGCTCTTACTAGCAGAAATCATTAAGTCCTGACACTTTTTGCATTTCCGTCAGGCTTTTGAATGAATACCTCCATTGCATTCTCTTTCCTGAAAGGGAAAACAGTTTCATTAAGTAACTGTTAGAAATGTCATCAGAATTCAGTAGGAGGGAAAATGCTTCCTTGCTCTGCATGAGTTTAGTTCTGTTTAAAAAAAAAAAAAGTAAAACTAATTTGTTGCCTCACATTTCCCTCTGAAAGGAGAAATGGCCACTGTTAGAATTGTTTAATGTTGTTAGGGAAAAATAATATCTACTTATTAGTGCAATGCTATTAATATTAACGTGTATGGTATTCCTTTTTTTTCCATCGTGCTCTCCTGTTTTTAACCTTCCATCTTTAGTTGGTTGTTAGATGAAATTGGAGAAAATGTTCTTGGTCATTTTATATACAGTTGTATTAGCAACCATTATCATATATTCCCACATTTTTAATGATTTTTCTTCACTTTGTATTTTTTCCTTCCCTGAATGTTTCCACCCTTTAGGATAGTTTCTCAAAGTGTCAAGTTGAGATAAAACTTTACAAAATGTGAGACCTGTATGCCTCACCTATCCCCTTAATTTGCTTTATTTTTCTTCAAATTTTAATATATCATGGAGTACAGTGGACTTACTACAGGGGTTGAGGAGAAAATTTATGTAACATCAAAAGGATGCTCAAGAGATTACCATACCCACTTTTCCCTGTGTTGCACTATCACCTCTCCAAGAATCACTGTGAAGGTTGCTTCACATCAAAGGTCAATCAGATGTTTGCATAGGACTGTGACCTTTGTAACATCACTTCAGCCTCTGATTGACTGCTTTCTGCAACTAATCAGACTGATTGTGGGCCACCACTTCATTACTTGAAGTGAACACCAAGTTGCCAGTGGGAAACCTCTAGAGGGTATTTGAACCCAAGAAGATTCTGTATCTGGGCACCCTTTACCATTATGTTCAGAAGACCAGGGATAATTATACCAATAAAGTGCTTTTTTAGTTTGCTTTTGTTTTCTTGTGTTTTGCTTGGTAGTTAAGCAGATTGATTCTCCTTTATGTTCTTGCTTCTTCTACTAAGAAGGGTTATTATTCTTGACTTAGTAAAGTTCTCAAGATCTGGAAGATTTCCGCAGCAGTGTTTCCCAAAATAACAGTCCTTGAAACAAGGCTTGAGACGATCTACACTCAAAGGGTTCTATTATCTTTGGAAACCTCTTTTTTGTTGTTGGGAGTTTTTTGTTTATTTTATTTTATTGGGATGGAGTCTTGCCCTGTAGCCCAGGCTGCATGCATTCATGTGATCTAGGCTTACTGCAACCTCCGCCTCCCGGGTTCAAGCTATTCTTGTGCCTTAGCCTCCCGAGTAGCTGGGATTACAGGCGCATGCTACCACTCCTGGCTAATTTTTGTATTTGTGGTAGAGACGGGATTTTGCCATGTTGCCCAGACTGGACTTGAACTCCTGACCTCAGGCATTACGTGCTCATTGACCTCCCAAAGTGCTGGAATTACAGGCTTGAGCCACCGTGCCTGGCCTTGTTTAGTTTTATTAGAGACAAGTTCTTGCTGTGTTGTCCAGGCTGGCTCCAACTACTAGACTCAAACGATTCTCCTGCCTCAGCCCCTTGAGTAGCTGGGACTACAGGCATGCATCACTGTGCCCAGCTATTTTGGGGAACCTCTTTATGTCATCTTCCCTTTGGACAATCACTGTACAAGTTAGTATATGGAAAGTTTTGTTGAAGAAGCCAGTTCTTCTTTGTTTGACCCAATTTTTAAAAAAGTGTATGTGATCACAGAACCCTCATTTGTGAATATCAGTAGAAAATAATTAAAACCTTGTTTTAACATAGAAATTTGCTTAAATTTGTCTTTATTCAAAACAAATTAAGCAAATTTGAAGTCCATTACAGTGATTCACAACACAGTTTTCTATCTGTAGTGGTGTTGGATGGCTAAGCTAACTTTAAGTGTCATAAATTGAAGACCTAGAAACATTACTTACTGATAGTAATATTTCACTGTCCAGAAAAAAACAAACCAATTTTTAAGCAGAGAACCCTTAAGAAATGAACAGATATCCATACTCGTCGTCTTCACTTTGAGAAAAGACTTATGCTGGGTGCAGTGGGTGGTGCCTGTTGTCCCAGCTACTTGGAAAGCTGCGGCAGGAGTTCTGGACTGTAGTGCGCTATGCTGTTTGGGTGTCCGCGTGGAGTTCGGCATCAATATGGTGACCTCCCGGTAGCAAGGGACCACCAGGTATGTCTCAGGAGGACGGGTGAACGATCCAGGTCAGAAACAGAGCAGGTCAAATCTCCCATGCCAATCAGTAGTGGGATTGCACCTGTGTACTCCAGCCTGGGCAACATAATGAGACCCTGTCTCTGAAGAAAAAAAAAAAGTCATATTAAGAATCTTTATAATCTTGCATGCAATTTTAATAACATTATTTGGTTTTAAAATTTATAATCTTGCATGCAATTATAATATTTGGTTTTAAAATTCATAAATTAGGGACTACTGTGTTTTGGTTTTTTTTGTTTTTGCCTTTTGTACCCTGGAAAAGCATGTCCACTGATAACAAGGGAAGAGGTATACAATCAAAGCTGTACAAATAAGTATGCAAAATACATAGCCATTTTAGGATACCTAGTATGTAGGAAGAAAACCTTAACATATCTCAGATCATAATACGTTGTATTTTGATGTTCTACTATAAATGATGTTAACAATAACCTTGAAATATTAAACTATGTGCAGGTGATCCTATTTAAGAAAACGAATAGTAGATTATATATTAAAATTACTTCAAAAATTTTATAAAATCTTTTAAAAATTTTATTATTTTCTTTTCTTTTTTCTTCTGATTTCATTCTTGTCACAAAGCATAAAATTTTTGAAAGGCTTTTTGCATAAAGAGTTACTTTTAGAGTTTCCCTGGAAAGCTTGTCTGTGAAATGACATTTTTTAAGGATTATGGAGAACTATGGCTTTTTTTTTTTTTTTGACACGCAGTCTCACTGTGTCACCCAGGCTGGAGTACAGTGGTGCAATCTCAGCTCACTGCAACCTCTACCTCCCGGGTTCAAGCAATTCTTCTGCCTCCACCTCCTGAGTAGCTGGGACTACAGGCATGCGCCACCATGCCCGGCCAATTTTTTTAGTATTTTTAGTACAGACAGGGTTTCACCATGTCAGCCAGGCTGGTCTCGAACTCTTGACCTTGCGATCTGCCCACCTTGGCCTCCCAAAGTGCTGGGATTATAGTCGTGAACCACCGCGCCCAGCCGAACTATGGCTTTTATAATTAGAAAGTAGCAAAGGAAGCACTGCTAAAACTTTTAAGCACTTATAACTCAAGCTATTAAGACCTTACCCAAGTTGAGCATCCCCAATCTGAAATGTGAAATGCTCCGAAATCTGAAGCATTTTGAGTAGCAATGTGACACTCAAAGGTAATGTTCATTGGAGCATTTCAGATTCTGGCTTTTTAGATTTGGGATGCTCAGCCAGTAAATCCGAAACAGTTCTGGTCACAAGCAGTTCAGATAATGGCTACTCGACCTATAACCTCAATATAGAAGCTATGACGTCTTGATGTTAGATAGGTAACTGCCTATTCTTCGTAACTACTTTACAGCATCAGTGTTGAAATAATTTTTCCAGTGTGGAAGAAATCGATTTGTTTTGTGAACCAAAACTTCAAAGCTTTTTTTTTTTTTTTTTTTTTTTAATGTAAGATTAGCCATTATGCAAAACTTACTGGTCAAGCAGTTAATAAAATACACATATTCCATTGAAGAGTTTTGTACCTTTCAGTTTTTGTACATAACAAGGCAATTATAAACTCTGAAAGTTTCTTTGCTTCTTTTGATTGTGATTTTTTATTCTAATTTTTGTTTTATTTTTGAGACAGAATCTCACTGTAACTTAGGCTGTAGTGCAGTGGTACAACTATAGTTTACTGTAGCCTTGGCCTCCTGGACTCAAAAGATCCTCCTACCTTATCCTCTGAAGTAGCTGGTGCATGCCCCTACACCTGGCTAATTTTTTATTTTTTATTTTTTTGTAGAGAGAGAGTCTCACTATGTTACCCAGGCTGATCTCAAACTGCTGGGCTCAAGCAGTTTTCCCGCCTCTCCCTCCCAAAGTGCTGAGATTATATTCATGAGCCACTACATGCAGCCTACTTTCTTTCCTTCATAAATCTGCCAGTCTTTGGGAACTCATGTTAAAAATTCTAGAAGCTTTTCTAGCTGTAGTTTGAGCATCAGGCTGAACTTTCTCCTCTTTTGCAGTTTGCTTGTATTTTAAAAGCAAATCAGGACTGTACAGTGGCTCACACCTGTAATCTTTTGAGAGGTCAGGGTGGAAGGAGCACTTGAGGCCAGGAGTTTAAGACCAGCCTGTGCAACATAGTGAGACCCCGTCTCTACGAAAAAAAAAAAAAAAAAATTTAGCCAAGCGTGGTGTTGCACACCTGTAGTCCTAGCTACTCAGGAGACTCAGACAAAAGGATGGCTGGAGCCCAGAAGTTCCAGGCTGCAGTAAGCTAGGATTGTGCCACTGCATGCCTGCCCGAGTGATAGAATGAGGCCCTGTCTCTTAAAAAATAAACAACAACAAACCTAGTCAAACTTTAAGCAGCTACTGTAGCTGTTGTACTTGGTGAGATTGAAGATCCAGTCCTGGAGTTCCTGGAACATCAGAGGATGTGATTCTTCCAGAATCTTTTTGTTGAGCGAAGACTGCCTCTTTTTGACTTGTGACGAGGCCTTACTGGAAAGAAAGGTCATGTAGACCTCCTTTGCCTTTTCCTGCATCTGCTTATCTTGCATTAAAAAAAGAAATCTTTACATGCTAGCCAAAACAAAATATTTTCTTCATTGAATTTCTTTTTAAAAAATTTCCTAAATTTTGTCATGCCTTCTAGGTCTTCCACCGGATTATCCAGGAAAGCCACCCGTTTGGCTGTGCTCTTGAGGCGCTGGTGGCTGCTGCCAGAACTGCTATTACTGTCATGGATGTATTTACTGGTTTATAGGAAAGAATATTATAATGCATACAGATGAAGAGATGCGTCAGGGAAGGGATGTGGAGCTTCCATGTCCTTTCCAGGTGTGCCACCCTCCAGGAAACTCCACACGTTCAGCAGCCTGGAAGCTCTAGTGTTGGAATAGTTTGACAGTAGATTGTGAATTATAGGACAGGCTATTCAACTTTTGAGCAATATGTATATAGAATATATAAGGGGCTAGTAAAGAGAAAGGTATGAACATTTGGAGGAAATGTAATGATTTCAGATTGTAGAAGGATATTATCAAGGATAACTAGAAGGATGTTATGGTTTTTTTTTAAAAGTACAGGCCGAGTGTGGTAGCTCACACCTGTAATCTCAGCACTTTGGGAAGCTGAGGTTGGGAGAATTGCTTGAGGCCAGGTGTTCAGTATCAGCCCGAGCAGCGAAGTGAGACCCCCATCTCTACCAAAAAAAATTAGCTGGGCATTGTGGTGTGTGCCTGTAGTCTCAGGCTACTTGGGAGGCTGAGGTGGGAGGATTCCTTGAGCCCAGGAGTTTGAGGATGTGGTGAGCTGTGATCACACCACCGTACTCCAACCTGGGTGACACAGACCTAGTCTCAAAAAAAAGGACAAATTATTATTGATGTTCTTTTCTAGAAACGACTACAGAAAGAACTGTTGGCTTTGCAAAATGACCCACCTCCTGGGATGACCTTAAATGAAAAAAGTGTTCAAAATTCAATTACACAGTAAGTATTTAATTTTTAAAGTGCTCTTTCTTTTATTATCAATAATGTATGAATGTTCACCCACTTTTTAAAACTACAAAATTATTTTCACATTTCGTTTTATTCTCTTTCACCAAGAGGGAAATACAGTAAACAGATCTTATTCTATGCATTTATATATATAATCAATTTTGTTTTACTATGTTATAAACATTGTTGCATAATTTATAAAGCTGTTTTTAGACTATCTTTGGTACATTTTTTAAAAGTTTTAACTGAGTAGCACTGACTTTGTGATGTGATCCTCATCTATAATATTAAAGAACTGTTTGGTGTGAGGTTTTATCAAATTAAAAATATGTATCTATTTAGGCATATGAAGATAGTAATAGTCAAGAGGTATCCCATGCCCTAAAAACATTAATTACATCCTGTACAGAAGGGCAGCTAAGTGAAAGTGTGACTCTCAGCAGTCGTTTAATAATTTTGTTAGACAGTGGTAAATGTTCTGAAATCGTGGAGAAATCTAAAATAATTTATCCTCCACTTAGAAGAACCTCTAAAAAGAAAAGGAAAAGTAGCCAGTAAGATAAAAATTGACTATAAACCGGCTTGTAGGACAAATGAGCCAATTCATATATTTGGTGTAGTCTAGGTCCAGGGAGTAAAAATGACCAAAATTCATATAACTTACCCTTTCAGAAGGAACAGTTTTGGGTACCTTTGACTTTGGCATTTGTATCAGTACTTAAGACAGGGGTCAAAACTTTAAGAACAAGAATATTACGAATGGATGTATAGACTCTTTTGAAAAAAAAAAGTAATACACTTCTTTAACTCTGCAACAATCACTTAAAAATATTGTTGAATTCTAAACTGATTTTTTGTGTATATCATATATAGAAAATATAAAACTCTTGTTCTAAAGCAACCAAAAGTGGAGCATACATTTAGAGTGGCATTTGTTGCATATTGTTAAACAAATGAAACTGACTCTTTTTTCATCCTGATGCAGATTATATCCCATTTTAATCTTTTTCCTCTCTCCCTTTATTAATCTACCTCAGAGTATCCTATAACAACTGTCCCTATAGTTCTCAAGGAAACTGATAATAATGAGATTACTTCTTCTTTCATCCTTTATTTTTTTGGGAGGATGGGGAAAACACACAACATAATAATTTATAAAAAGTTAAAGAAACGTTTTAAATTTTTACAAATAGAAACGCTTTAATAGATTACCAGGTAGTTTATACCACAAATTATAACAGCCAAAGCAACAATACCTTTATTGTAGAGTAAATCCTATCATATCGAGATACTGGTCAGGTAAGAATTTTTCTTTTAATTTATTGTAAATGAACCGTAAAATTTTTACCTTTGTGCCATCCTCTAGGCTATAAAAATAGTCTTATAAAGAATCAGATTGTTAAGAGTATATGAGATGTAGATATGGATGTGGAAGATCCATGAAGAGGATGATGATGAAAGCACATTAAGAAGCTTTCTGATGGGCACAAAAAGTAGAATGAAGAAAATCTGGTATTTGAGAGCACAACAGGGTGACTATAGTCAACAGTAATTTATTGTGCATTTTCAAATAGTTAAAGTATAATTGGATTGTAACAGAAAGGATAACTGCTTGAGGTGATGGATACCTCATTTACCCAGGTGCAATTATTATGCATTGTGTGCTTGTATCAAAATATCTCATGTTCCCCATAGATATATACACCTACTCTGTACCCACAAAAAAATTTTTTTTTAGTTTTCTGGAAGAAATTTGGTAGCATATATTGAGACCTTAAAAAATACGAACACTATCCTGTTTGACCCACCACACACCATCCTAAGTAACGATCTAGAAAAAGACTTAGAACCAACTATACTAATTTCAACATTACTAATTCTAGGGATAATTTGGGAATAGTGTAAATGTCAATAATATGGAAAAGGTTTGTCAAGGCAGTGCAGTGAAATGGCATCACTTGAATTATAGTCTATAGTCAGCATGTAAGGTAAAAATTTTGTATAGTTATAATTACCTTTGAAAAATCCTTTAAGAAGACCTTATTGGTATGTATCCTCTTTATTAATAAATCCACTAAAGCCAGTTTTTCCTCCAGAGTGGAATAGATGATTATGTCTTTAACAACCATGGTGTGTGAAGAATAAAAAAATTCTAATGCTTAAACGTTAGAATTAGAGTACTAGGTACTCACAGGTGTTGAAGAACTGAGACTAATTGAGAGAACAACACGTATAGTCTCATCGCATCCTTACTCTGGGGCATATGCTTGTGATTGGAATCATAAACCCTGATGGTTTAAATTGATGTAATTTAAGTGTGCACAAAATGCAGCTACTCGGCTGCCATTTTGTATAGGCTTTGATGGTATAGGAAACAGCAAAATGACTAGAATGAAATACACCCCCAAAAACTTTAACAGTGGTTGTCACTGGGTGATTTTTATTTCTACTTTTCTGAAGTTTCTACAATGAACATATCTTACTTTTTTAACTAATAAAATCTCATTAGGCCTGGCATGGTGGCTCATGCCTGTAATCTCAATGCTTTGGGAGGCTGAGGTGGGGTGGGAGGATCCCTTGAGCCCAGGAGTTCAAGACGAGCTGGACAACATAGGGAGATCCCATCTCTAGTAAAAAAAAAAATTTTTTTTTAGTTGGCTGGACATGGTGGTGTGTACCTGTGGTCCCAGCTACCTGGGAGTCTGAGGTGGGAGTCGCTTGAGCCCAGAAAGTCAAGGCTGCAGTGAGCCCTGATTGCACCACAGTTCTCCAGCCTGGGTGACAGAGTGATACCTTGTCTCAAAAAAAAAGGGTTATTAGAAAGTACCATGCACAGGCCAGGCGCAGCGGTTCACACCTGTAATCCCAACACTTTGGGAGGCTGAGGCAGGGAGATCACCTGAGTTCAAGAGTTCGAGACCAGCCTGAACAACATGGAGAACCACCCCCTCTACTAAAAATACAAAAAATTAGCCGGGCATGGTGGTACATGCCTGTAATCCCAACTACTTGGGAGGCTGAGGCAGGAGAATCACTTGAACCCAGGAGGTGGAGGTTGCGGTGAGCCGAGATTGCGCGATTGCACTCCAGCCTGGGCAACAAGAGCAAAACTCTGTACCAAGAAAAAAAAAAGAAAGTACCATGCACAATGTTGACAGTTATATTGTCTTTGACCTCATGTAGTATCTGCATGTCATGCAGATATTACGAGGATTGATGAGATACTTGGTTAGCTCTTTATTTTTAAAAGTTGTGCTTGTTTGCATAGGTCACATGTAAATTTATGTTGTGTGTCCTCAAATTGCCATATAAACAGAACGAAAGACCACCATTTTTCCTGGGAATATTACTCTGCCTAGTAGATGTGGGTGGAAAATCAAGAAAGGAATTTCAAAGATTAAGAAGGACCTAATATATAAAGAGATAGTTTTTTGTTTTATATGCAGCTTTTGCATTGCATTTAATTTACCATGTATTGACTCTGAGTCAGGAATGTGCTAGGTTTTTTACTTATGTAGGGTCGTTTATCTCCAACAACACTATAAGGTGATTATCTTCTGTTTTATTATTGAGGTAGTTAAAACTGGAGAGAGAACATAACTTGCTCACACAACGAGTTAAGATTAACTGTAACTGCCACTTCAGTATAATTTCAGTTATAACTGTTTAATTTCACTATAAAATGTTGTCTCTTGGGTCTGTGGTCGTATCTTTTATTACCATGTATGGTACTCAGCATGCATTCTTAAAATGAATAGCCATGCTCTTAAGAGTCTGTATACTGTAGCTGATTTCTTTTAGAGAATAGGTACATTTATTAGTTTACATAATCCTAAGTTCATCGTATGCGTGGTAATGACTAGAATCCCAACACTGTGTTTCCTTTCTTTCTTTTGTTTTCTTGTATTTTAAGTACAAGAAAGTTTAATACCTGAAAAGTTCAAGAGAATTGCCTAGGTGTACAATAATTATAAGTGACAGAGCTATAATTAGGAACACATTGTTAATGACTTCAATTCACTTTTGCTTCTAATGCTGCCCTGTTATCTTTGCTGTCATTATCCCTTATTCTTTCCCCCATCTTAAAGAAAATAACAAGAAATAGTGTATACACTATAAATAACACATTTATGTTTATGATTGTTACATATTAAAACAAAGTACGCTTGCATAGATGCCATAGAAATGGGCTTTATTAAACAATTGAAACATAGTGAGAGATAAAGAAAAGGCAGTACAAAGCCTTGCTTAATCGTCAAAGTAAGTGGAATGATGTCAATTTAGCTCCCCTTACCCTGTTAATCTTTTCTAGAATGTTGATGAGAAAAATAAATCTGACAGCTACGGTTCTCTGTAGTCATTGTCTATACGGGTTTCTCCATGGCTTCCACCAGTAATAATCAGAAAGACAGTTGATTAGTTTGATGTTATGTATAGAATACTTAATATCAGCATTGTAGAAATGGTACTTTGAAAAAATAAGGTAATGTAAATCAATTAGGAAGAGTACAGGCTTGGGTGTCAGCACACCTTAGTTTGAGATTTGTTTGTTTATTTTGAGACAGTCTTGCTCTGTAGCCCAGGCTGGAGTGCAGTGGCATGATCTTGACTCACTGCAACCTCTGCCTCCCGGGTTCAAGTGATTCTCCTGCCTCAGTCTCCTGAGTAGCTGGGATTACAGGTGCACGCCACCACGCCCAGCTAATTTTTGTATTTTTAGTAGAGACCAGTTTCACCATGTTGGTCAGGCTGGTCTCAAACCTCTGACCTCGTGATCCACCTGCCTCAGCCTCCCAAAGTTCTGGGATTACAGGCGTGAGCCACCGCGCCTGGCCTTGGGTTTTTGTTTTGTTGGCTTTTTTAGACCTATCTTTTGCTAGCTGTCTGACCTTGATCTGGTGGTTTCACCCCTGAATGTCAGAGAAGGTCATGAGAATTAACAGTGAGAGAGTTATTGGGAGGCTGGCATGTGCTGTTACACATAAACAACTCTTGTCCCAGTGCTTAGTGTACAGGAAGTACTTGGTGTCCTCTTTTCTCCTCCTTACCCCAGTATCTTAAGTTTTTAATTTGCCTTTTCTATTCTAGGTGGATTGTAGACATGGAAGGTGCACCAGGTACCTTATATGAAGGGGAAAAATTTCAACTTCTATTTAAATTTAGTAGTCGATATCCTTTTGACTCTCCTCAGGTAATTGCCTTGCTTTAAATTTTTTTTTTTGTATTTTTAGATAGCTAAATGCCAGAGATGTTTGACTCAGTAAAAACATATAAATCATTTATACGTATGTAGATGGATTTGTTATTTCCTTGTTCGTAATATAATCAAGATATGAACATTACACTTAATATTGGGATTAGGGCTTTACTGCATTTTGCATCTAAAATTGTTTGTTTCTTATCCATAAATACTAGCAGAAAAGGGAATAGAAATCTAACCAGGCCTCTAGGCCAGGGGTCCCCAACCCCTATGCTGTGGACTGGTACTGGTCCCTGGCCTGTTAGGAGTCAGGCCACACAGGAGGTGAGCACCATTACTGCCTGAGCTCCGCCTCCTGTCAGATCAGTAGTGACATCAGATTCGCATAGGAGTACAAGCCTTATTGTGAACTGCACATGCGAGGGATCTAGATAGTACGCTCCTTATGAGAATCTAATGCCTGATGATCTGAGATGGAACACTTTCATCCCAAAACCATCATCCAACCCCCAGCCCCATCCGTGGAAAAATTGTCTTCCACCAAACCGGTCCCTTGTGCCAAAAAGATTGGGGACCACTGCTCTAGGCCATTCGAGAAGTTGGCATTTTGGAATAACTGGAGGCGCCTCTCCTAGGTCAGATGATAGAATCACATGGTGAAGAGAAAAGTTCTCTGTTGGAAGGAGTACTTTGATTTTGCATTGACGTGCTGTCTTTGCAGCCTTTTAGTACTGGAATGGCAGAGTACATCACCAGATGTTAAATATCTAAACATTGGCCCAAAGTCTGTTTATTATAATTTGATGCCCAGTCAGTTTAGTTAATAACTTAATACTTAGACAAGGGATAATGGTGGTAGAGGAATGTTTTTTGAGAGCTGTTTAACTATGGTAAATGATTAATCAGAGATTAGAGAAAGGAAGACTGTAGGATGACTTCCAGGTTTCTGGCTTGGTAATATAAGTAAATGAGTTACTATAATTACTTATTCTTCAGAGAATTATTGTAACAAAGCACTTCATTTTTAAAATTTGAGGCTTGTAATATCCGTTGGCTAAAGTGATAAGACGTAATGCCAACTCTTTCTAGTATTGCTAGCAAATGAGCTATTCTGTAAAATAGAACCATATACCTGAAATATTTCCCAGATACTGAAAATTTAGCTTGTAGGTGCTGAAGTGTACTATTTGGGGGAAAATCTTATTTCATTGCCACTTTAAACAATATACCAAACACAGCTTAATCTTTTGTTAGTTATGTAAGAGAAGAGATAGAAGTCAGTTACTGTATCATGCTATAAGTAAAGAGGTAATTGTTTTAAAGCATAGATTTAAATGGATACTGACTCCTTAAGTTCTACAATTTTCATGTGAGCAGAAAACTACTAAGACTTTTAGGACTTATTTTTATCATTTTCATAAAAATTAAAGTGAAAGGGATTATGCTGTTGTGACCACCTCTGGATGTCTATAGTAAGCATTTGTAGACTATAACAAAAAGTCAAAACAAATATCTTCTCTCCAGAAGATTGTCATCACTTCTGTTTTTTTCTGGCTGGTCAGCATCATTTCTGACTATAAATGTGTGGAGACCACTGGATATCAGTCTGTTTTCATCAATCAGCCTATTTGTCTACATTCATCTAAGTTCATTGATGGTATGGGAAGGAAGAATATTTCACACCAACTCAGAAGCTTTTGACTAGGGAGATATTGGGGGAAGGCTTACTCTGGGAACTTACCAATTTTTCACCAGAGGAAAATAATATTTCTATAAGCATGAAACCAAGTCAAAAACGTGTTCTCTAAACTCTTTCCTTAATATTGAATTCTAAATCAAATATCAAACTTAAACATTATGTTGAATTTCTTCTTTAATATTTCTGTAAGTTAAGCATTTGTTGTAAATTCTCCCTATCATCCTACTTCAAATTCATTTTATCCTCCTTCCCTGATTTTATTTCTACCTGCTCTTCTAACATTGGTGTTATCCAGGTTCTTTATTCAGCACTGTGTTACTCTTCTCACTCTTCTTTCACCTTCAATCACTTTAAGCAGCTAACTCAGATCTACAGCTCTGGGAACACCTCTTTTTTTAAGGCTTAATTTCATACCGTTGTTGAAATACTTGAGTACCTCCAGACATCTCAAATTTAACACAACTAAATTTGACCTTTCCAATAACAAAGCACATTTTGTTTTTCTTTATCCTGGGTTACTGTCCACCTATCTATTTTGTGTTCAGTTTTTCTCTTTTCCACACCCCTCCTTCCTACATTTGAAAGGTAGCCCATTCTTTTCTTAATGTCAGTGCTGTAGTGTGGTTTTTTGTTTGTTTTTGTTTTGTTGTTTTTGAGACAGAGTCTCACTTTGTCACCCAGGTTGGAGTGCAGTGGCGCAGTCTTGGCTCACTGCAACCGCTGCCACCTGGGTTCAAGTGATCCTCCCATATCAGCTTCCCAAGCAGCTGGGACTACAGGTGCATGCCACCACACCCAGCTAATTTTTATATTTTTTGTAGAGATGGGGTCTTGCCATATTGCCCAGACTAGTCTCGAGCTCCTGGGCTCAAGTGATCAGCCCACCTCCTTGGCCTCCCAAAGTGCTGGGATTACATGTGTGAGCCACCATGCCTGGCCTAGTCCAGGTTTTTATCTTTTAATTGAACTATTACAGTAGCTTTTAGTTCTTTGGATTCCTATGCATCCTTTCATGGTGCCATTAGATTTCTTTGAAGGCACAGTTATCTCATTGGTTACATACCACACACATGCACATGCACATGCACACACACACACATACACAGACACCCCCCCACTCCACCGCCCCCCACATATACACACACACAGTCTCACTCCACCATCCCCAGAATTCCCCACCCCCTCACAGTAAAACCTCTTAATGTTTCTTTATTTCCTGTGGAATCAAGTTTTTAGCCTGGCATTCAAGTCCCTGTGTAGTCACATCCAAATATAACTTTTTCTGCACCTGTATGCATTCTTTATGGTAATATTTCTATAGTACTTCATAATTTAACTTCCATTCTGATTTTGTCTTCTAACATCTTTTAATGAAGTGGTTAGGGGAGGTAGATTCATCCTCATTTTATATGTGAAGAAATTGAAACTTGTAGAAGTGAAGTGCCTTGTTCACGTTTTAATACCTAGTTTATAGAACAATTAAGACTCAAACCCAAGTCTTTCCTTTCCTCCTTTGCCATACTGCCAATTAGATGAGAGTACCAGTATGGGAAAAAATGCCTATTTATCTATGTAGTAATTTTCTCTCTGAAAGTGAAAGATTATATGTGGAATGAATGATACTTTTGAAAGCTCTAAGCCAGTTATTCTCGCTCTTTTTGAAATATAAGGATTCCTTTTTTAATTTACTGTTTGGGGGGGTGGGTGGGGTGGAGACAGAGTCTCCCTCTGTCATCTGCCTGTGCTGTGGTGTAATCATAGCTCACTGCAGCCTCCAACTCCTGGGCTCAAATGATCCTTCCACCTCAGCCTCCAGAGTAGCAGGGACACAGCCATGTGCCACCATGCCTAGCTTGGTTTTTTTATTTTGTTATTTTGTTTTTATTTTTTTGAGATAGAGTCTCTCTCTGTTGCCCAGGCTGGAGTGCAGTGGTGCTATCTCTGCTCACTGCAACCTCTGCTTCCTGGGCTTAAACCGTCCTCCCACCTCAGCCACTCCGAGTATCTGCAACTACAGGTATGCACCACCATGCCCAGCTAAATTTTTTTGTATTTTTGGTAGTAGAGACAAGGTTTCGCCATGTTGGCCCAGCTGGTCTTGAACTCCTGTCCTCAAGTGATCCGCCTGCCTCGGCCTGTCAGAGTACTGGTATCATAGGCATGCCCAGTGAGGATTCCTTTTTAATATCAGTTAATTCTGTAGCCCCTCACATGGCATAGAGGTTGTATATTCTAATATCCATTGATTGGGAAAATGGCAGCACTACTGTTAGGCCAGTAATACTTCAAAATTTTTTAAAAGGTATTTATACATAATCTGTATAGTTTTAACATAATTATAAGGAGTCAAACATCAGTGTTTGATGGGCTTATAGACTTCAAGATTTTTCCAATAACTGAAACTCTCCAGAGATCCACTGCCCTGGGAAAGTGGCTGGAACCAGTCCTCTAAGGCAGTAAAATTCCCCCAAAATTTTATTTGATGAAACTCTGTAGCATTAGCACTTGTTAGATAAATTAGTCTTTCATCTTTCTGGCTGGGCATGGTACTCATGCCTGTAATCTAGGCACTTTGAAAGGCCAAGGCAGGTGGATCACTTCAGCCACCTGCTGTTTGAGACCAGCCTGGGCAACGTAGGGCAACCCTATCTCTAAAAAAAAGAAAGAAAAAGAAGTCTTTCATCTTTCCATGCAATGAGCAGTACTGAGTTTATCACTAGTTACAAGAGTAGAATTTGGAAAGTATTTCTAGAATAGATCAATCTCATTGTGAAATTACTGCTTTTATACCTTTAAATGAGATTGGTAAGACTGTTACACACCATTATGGTTTGTTGTGTTTTTCCTCCTACCAGATATATTTTATGTCTCATGTTGTGTCCTGCCTTATAATGAAAAAATTACCTATCAAATATGTTTGGCTCAGTCATTTGCCTTAAAAGAAAGAATAACAACAAACAATTTGTCAGTTAATATGGAAACAGAGATGAGGCATCTTTTCATCACTGCTTGCCACTAATGTACATTTACTGTCAGCCATACAGAAAGTATCTTTCTGTATACATATTCTGTTTTCTTATGCTAGGATACAGGTAAATGTTTGGTTAATTCAACATGTATTGGGCATGTATTGTGTATCAAATACTGTTTCTTGAGAGAGGGGAGAGAGTACAGAGATTTAAAAGGCATTGGGCCTGCCTTTAAACAGTTATAGTTTAGTATTTGGATAGGTAAATATTCATTCCATATTTCTTGAGGATGTATCATGGGACAAACACTGTGCTGGGTGCTG